TGCGGTGCTAACTCACCGGGGTGCGGTGCTAACTCACCGGGGTGCGGTGCTAACTCACCGGGGTGCGGTGCTAACTCACCCGGGGTGCGGTGCTAACTCACCAGGATGCGGTGCTAACTCACCGGGGTGCGGTGCTAACTCACCGGGGTGCGGTGCTAACTCACCCGGGATGCGGTGCTAACTCACCCGGGATGCGGTGCTAACTCACCCGGGATGCGGTGCTAACTCACCAGGGTGCGGTGCTAACTCACCCGGGGTGCGGTGCTAACTCACCCGGGGTGCGGTGCTAACTCACCGGGGTGCGGTGCTAGCTCACCCGGGATGCGGTGCTAACTCACCCGGGGTGCGGTGCTAACTCACCGGGGTGCGGTGCTAGCTCACCCAGGATGCGGTGCTAACTCACCGGGGTGCGGTGCTAACTCACCGGGGTGCGGTGCTAACTCACCGGGGTGCGGTGCTAACTCACTGGGGCCAGTCCTCCAGGCTCCCCCCCCATCCTGCAGGCGGAGGCACCAGGAGCTGCTTGCCTAGCCCTAAACGCCCGCGGCCTTGCCGCTGCTCTGCAGCTGCTGTCCCCAAGTCCTGTGGGCACGCACCTATGTAGGCGGCCTTGTCTGTGACGGTGAACTTGCTGTGGCTCACGCGGCTGAACGGGATGTTGGAGTGACTCCCCACGGGCAGGATGAAGACTTTCTTCCGGGAACAGAGAGAGTGTCAGGCTGGGCCGGGAGGGAGACTGCTTCTCCCCTGCCCTCCCTCCCCAGGAGGCGTCCTCCTCTCCCCTGCGCACCGGGAGGGGTCCTCACCACGTCCACGGAGATGCCAGCCGAGGCATTGCCAAAGGCCTGCAGAGATCGCAGGAAAGGGAACATGGCAGGGTCCGTGTTGAGCCAACAGCTGACCAGCAAACGCACGCACACGCCTCGGTTCAAGGCCGCTGCCCGCAGAGCATTGTCCAGCACGGGCCAGTACCTGGGGACAGGGGCGGGAGGTCAGGGCCCTGCCGACAGCCTGGGGTGCCAGGAGCTCCTGTGCCCCGGGAGCCGCCCCTCAGCAGAGCCGCACCCACCTGGCAGGGTGGTGGAAATGGGTGGAGGGGAAGTACTCCATCACAGCCGTGTAGACAAACTTCCGGGCCCCCCTGATAACCGCCAGCACCGCGTCCAGGTCCCTGGTACGGCCATGGGGGCACAGGGGGGGCGGGGAGGCCTGGGAGAGAAGGGCCCAGAGTGCACTGCGGTTCCCGCACCCACGACCCCGCAGCGACCGGCCTGGCCAGGGCGGCTAGCTCTGAGGAAACCCCCAGGCCTCGTAGGTCCCGTGGATTTTCCATGGACTTCTGCCCAGGGACGCCACCCTGCTCCCTCCAGAGAGGGCCCGGGCAGGGCCGGCCCTTGCCTGTGATAGCGCCTCCTGTAGACCAGCGCCTGAGCAGCGGGGACCCCGCGTGCGCTCCTCTGCAGGCCAGGCTAGCTGCGCTCTGCCTCTCGCCTCCCTGTGGAGCAGCCCTGGCTTCTCCACTTCCCACCTCCACCCGGAGCCGGCTGGCAATGGCCCCCGGCGCCCCACCCCCTGCGAGAGTGGGCCCAGGTTCCCTACGGGGCCCCCTCTGCCTCTCAGTGCAGCCCCAGTGCCCGCCAGAGCCCAGCGGGGCTGCCGCGGCCCCTCAGCCCGCCTTACCGAGAAGTAGGCAGTGGTGGGCACCCCGTCAAAGCGCCCCCGGAAGGGCTGGGCGTGGTTGATGTGGGTTGAGAGGTTCCGAGGCCAGGTTTGGGGGAGGACAGCGTGGGGTGCCCCCAGCGCCCAGTAGGTCTGGAAGATCTTTTCCAGGTCCTGGGCCAGGTGGCTGCAGTTGTAGATGACAGCGCCCAGCTCCTTCACCTGCAGGGACCGGGAGCCAGGGGCGTAGCAGGGCAGGGTCACCTGCAAGGGTCGCAGGCAAGCCGGGCGGGGCCCAGGCCATTTCCCTGGCCACTGTCCTTCTGTGGTCAAATCAACACACTCATTCCAAAATAAAACAGAAAATGCATGGAAACCCAGAGCTGGAGGTAAAAATCGTTAGAAATGACCGTTCAGGGCTGGGACGGTGGCTCAGCGGTGCACTGCCTGCCCGGTACGTGTGAAGCCCTGGGCTCCATCCCTCAGTGCCACATGAACAGCAAAAGCCAGACATGGCGCTGTGGCTCAGTGATAGAGCGCTTGAGCAAAAGCAGCTCAGGGACAGCGCCCAGGCCCTGAGTTCAAGCCCCAGGACTGGCAAAGAAAACAGAAATAACCACTCTTACCATATCTGTTTTCTTTTTGTTTTTTGGCTGTGCTGGGGATTGAACCCAAGGCTTTGTGCATGCAGGTGAGTGCTTTTATCGGTGAACTATGTCACCAGCAGCGCCACTTTTTGATAGTTTTTTGTGTGCTGCTGTGGACTGAACCCCGAGCTTCGCACATGCGATGGGCTGGCTCCATGGCCCCACCCCAGGGCTGTGCTGGGGGCATGATCACAGCCACATGATCACTCACTACGTTTATAGTGTGTGGAATGTGGGCATCAGCACCTTCCCACCTCCTTAAATGTTCCTCCACACTGCGATTGTGGGCCAGGTGAGGGAGCCGGCCCGGGCTGGGTGAGGGAGCCGGGCCCTGGGCTGGGTGAGGGAGCCGGGCCCAAGGCTGGGTGAGGGAGCCAGGCACCAGGGTGGGTGAGGGAGCTGGGCCCCGGGGGTGGGTGAGGAAGCTGGGCTCTAGAGCAGGTGAGGGAGCTGGGCCCAGGCCTGGGTGAGGGAGCCAGGCCTCGGGCTGGGTGAAGGAGCCAGGCCCCGGGCTGGGTGAGGGAGCTGGGCCCAGGGTGAGGGAGCTGGGCCCCGGGTGGGTGAGGGAGCGGGGCCCCAGGCCGGGTGAGGGCCGGGCCCAGGGCCAGGTGAGGGAGCCAGGCCTCGGGCTGGGTGAAGGAGCCAGGCCTCGGGCTGGGTTAGGGAGCTGGGCCCAGGGCTGGGTGAGGGAGCCGGGCCTCGGGCTGGGTGAGGGAGCCGGGCCCAGGCTGGGTGAGGAAGCTGGGCTCAAGGTCAGGTGAGGGAGCCAGGCCCCGGGGTGGGTGAGGGAGCCTGTACTGTGCTGCCGGCGTGATCACAGCCACGTGATCATTCACAACGCAGTTTTGTTGAGACTCGGGACTCCAGGCTCAGACTGGGGAGGAGGCCCTCAGCCTCTGGCCGGACTCACCTGTGTCAGTGAGCGCCAGTCCATGTTGGCACTGCCCAGGAAGACGTGCCGCCTGTCCACAATCCAGAATTTGGAGTGCAGGACGCCCCCAATGAGCTTCTTCATGGGCACCTGGCGGACCCGGGCACCTGATGAGATGAACCGACTGCCTGCCAGCTGCTCAGCGGCTACCGCGTCTGATCCTCAGGCAGCATGACCACCCAGCACTGTTCTGTGCCCACCGGGCGGAGCCTGGCCCGGGACGTCTCTGGGCAGCACGGCCCCCAGCATTGTAACGGCTGTGCTGTGGCTCCCTGGCTGGAGCTGGTGGCCTGAGCCCCTGGCCATGAGTCAGAGCGGGTCGTGGAGGCCGCCTGTGCCCTGCTGTGGTGGGTGTGGCTCCAGCTGCCGGAACCCGCCCTGCCCCCAGGTGAGGTCAGCTCAGTGGAGCCGTGGGCTCCTGCCCCCCCAATGTGTCACACACACACACACACACACACACACAGGCACAACTGGCAGCAATGCTGGTCTCTGCCTTCGTCCTCTGTGCCCCGCACAGGGCCTGGAGGGCGCAGGCATTACCTTGGGCAGCCAGGACGTGCAGGTCAGTGGACTCCGTGGCCGGTGTCGGGCTGCTGGTGGCCACGGCCAGGGAGACGTTCTTGGCGAGCAGAAGCTGCAGCTTCCGCAGAACAGCTTCTCCCTGCAGAGCCAGGCGGGCATGAGAGGCGGCGCCCAGGGCGGCCCAGCCTCACCCCGCCCAGCAGGGACCAGATCCCGACCACCCTTGATGGGGCGCGGGACTGCAGCCGGGGACTCTCCACGCACCCGGACCCCAAGCACACAGCTCTGCAGATGGCCCTAGGCCTTCCCGAGGGCTCTGCCCCCGCCCCACAGGCGGGGCCCTGGGCCCCGCAGCCTGTGCAGGGCTGACCTGCTGGGAGGAGGTGTCGTTGACGCCAATGTCCTGCCCGGTGAGCGACCAGTAGTAGGAGGCCACCTGGATGCTCTCCTGGGCCGCGTCCAGGAGCTGCAGCCAGGCCTGGGCCAGGGGCCGGCCGGAGGGGCTGCCCGCTGCGAAGGGCAGATCCTGGGGAATGCTTTCCACGAGGACGAGGCTGGGGAGCACAGAGCAGGACGTGTGGGCACCACGGCCGCCTGGCCTGGCCACCAGGGGCTGAGCAGGGAGCTGGGCAGAGCCTGGCCGGCCAGACGAGGGCCCCTGGGCATGTCCAACAGGAGCCTGAGGGTCAGGACCAGCAGGACAGACCACCCCAACCCCTCTGGGAGCAGCCACTCCTAAGACCAAACTGAGGAGGGGTCTCTGGGTTCCAGACCCTCCACAGCAGGGCAGGAAAGGGGGAAGGGCTGAGGCGTGAGTGGGGAGCAACAGATCCCCGGGAGTAGAAGGACTTTGAAAGTCCTCACGCCATGTACTATGCTCAGCACCTCAAGTCTACACCACTCATGCCAACAGTCCACCCCCGCGCCCCCCCCCCACCCGCCAGGTCCACACTGCAGACCAGCGGGGCGGGGCCAAGCCCAGGGGAGACTCGGCCCGCCGCGCTCACCGGCAGGAGTCCACCGGCCCCCCGGCCTCTCCTCCCTGGGCCTTGCAGGGTCTGCACGCCACCTCCTTAGGGCGCATGTGGAACCAGGTGAGAAGAGGGGGCACTGGGCCCAGGAGCAAGGTGAGCGAGAGGGAGCCAAGCCCCAGGGCAGCCAGCACGCCAAGCACCTGCGGGAGAGATCGCC